GGACGCAAATTTTCTTTGGATGAATTTGTGATCTAGACATTTTCGTCCCAGTGAACTGGTTTCTACTTTGATCAAAGCCGCATTTTTATATCAAAATTGTAGTCAGTTATACAATGGTGGGCAGCCTTCGCGTTCGATGTATTGTTTTGTAAATTTTCCTTTTTATGTTCATATAATCTTTTATTTAGATTCCTTGACGTTTCTCCTATGTATTTTCGTGACAATTACTACAGTCGATCGAGTAAATTAATTCCTAAAGTTTTAGCTTATTGTTTTGTTTATTATTGATTATATCCATTATTGTTCTAGAATTTGTAGTAGCAAATTTTATTTAAAAGCACTCATAACTTGCAGCCCACAATATTTACATGAAGAGGAAATATACATTGAAAAAACTTTCAAAATTTCTTCAGTATCTTATTTAATTTACATTCAATGCGAAACACAGAAAAAGAAAATTGTCCCTCCTGCCAAACCCAAAGAATCAAAAGTTATTTTGTCCTACCAAATTTATCACATTTACAATTGAAAAGAACGTGAACATAAGATTTGCTTCAAACAATAAATGATCTTTCGGGAGAGTTGGGAAATTTTACTGGTCGAACCGAGTCTTGAGAGTGAAATTTGATTGACGAAACTGTTCGAAAATCATCGATTGTTGTGCTAACACGAAATTACAAGTCATTGTGATCGAGGGTTTAAGTGCACAGATCCGGATCACGCCAGATTACGCACTCTCTCTCAGAAGCTGTAAATGAGGTCTGCTTAGTATAGTTACTGTATAAAACATTGTTCTGTTGGTGTTGAAAAAACATTATGTACCTGTACAGGCGTGCGCAACAGGGGTAAGCTATTCAACCACCCTAACAGACAGGTATACTCGGAAAAGATCTGGCGGCCTTATATGTGGCTACTTCTGTTAGGTGGTGGTTAGTTAATTCCCTTTGCCTCCTCAAGCACATTTGTTTTCATCAGCCACAGAACCAACGTGTGGTTTACACTGCGACTATACTTATCGGACTATATATATAGTTTCTGGTGTAATCAACAGTTTCGATCAAGGCCACTGCGCTCAGATCGTAGTCCATATTGATTCGTTATTTTCTGCTTGAACAACATTCGAAAGGTTCCAAGCAATACAGTTTACTCACAAGACTTGTGTCAGTCCGAGGTTTTTAGGCATTACCAAATGAGTCCTCACGCTAGGAACGTCACATCCTTGTAAAATCCACCATGCCAGGATTCGAAATCAGGTCACTCGTCCATAAAATATAAATACATGTAAGAATATATATATATATATATATATATAAAAGTGAACATAGAAGTCAACACTTAGAGGCGACAGTCTGTTTCATGCTATATGCAATCGTCAGGCCACATATGCTGTTATTTTTCTCACTATTTATATATATACGGGTTAGTGGTGCATTGTGGGTATTCTATTATGGCGGTTATTTTTTACCGAAGTCGCTTTGTTTATTTATTTGGGTCAAATTATATTGCTCGTTTTTATTTTTTGTTTCTTATTTTATATATTTATTTCTTAACGTAGTAAAATTTGTTTATATCACGTATTTAACAGTTTTGTTTTGGTTTGAGAATTTAATTCAAAGCTATTTGTTCATTTTGGGGTTGTTGTTGTAGTTCATTCTAACTATTATTTTTTTTTGGCAGGAACAGTTTTTAATTTGGGATTGGTTTGTCTATTTACTTGGATGAATTTAGGTCAATTTATTTGTATATTTTTCTTTTCGGTTTTCGGTTTTTAAGCAATATAGTACTTATTTATTTATTTTATTTTCATTTTCCTTCTATTAGTTTATTTGTTTGTTTTCATTTTTTCCGTTTTTCATTTTTTAGGTTTTTACGTTAGTAAAATTTATTTTCATGCCTGCATTTTTGATGTGAGCTCGGATCTTTTATTTAATAATTTATTTTGATCGGGGAAAGTAATTATAGCTATTTTTCCTCCAAGCAAAGTTTGGAAGTTTTTTTTGGTTGTTGTAGGCTGATGACTTTTTTCTTATCTTCCAAGATATTTTTGGTGTGATGTTTATTTTGTTTTTTTTCCCAGATATACTTAGAAAGGTTAGTCTGTTCGTCATATTTACTATTTGTGAACGATGTTTTGTGTCTATAATTTCTTTGCTTCCAGGGTCCTTCAGTTACTCCTATGTATTTCTTTTCTTCATTATCTGGTGATTTTATCGTAGCTTGGTATATTACGTTGTTTTGTAAACAATTTCCGTTTAAGGGACATTCGTTCTTTATTCTGCAGTTGCACGTGGGTTTAATTTGTTCGTGTGGTTTGTTGATAATTTTCCTATTGTGCTTTTTTATTATTTGTAGCTCCTCTCTGGTGCAGCTAAATATTCATTTTTTTACTGTGTTTTTTGTTGAATATCTTTTTGTAAGGTTTGATTCTGGGAAGTGTTTGTGTAAGAGTTTTTTTAGAATATTTTTCCTACGTTTGTTTTTACGTTCTTGCTGTGCTGGG